AGTCGTTAAGTCACTATTGCTTTTTCGCTTGCATGACCCGTCGATTTTTATCTTTGGCTTCTTTCTCTCTCTCTTTTTTTTCCTTTTGAAAGGCTGGCGGTGTACAACGTGGAGTTCCGTACGCAGTTCAAGTCTGTTACTTGCTTGCTGGTCTCCGCCCGGAGACCAAGAGGAGTTCCAATGTATAAAGTGTTTAAACTGGGCCGCGGCGACGCCCGCGGCGGAGCTGCTGGGAGGTCGTCGGGTGGGCCGTCTCCGGGGTATTCGATCTGCACTCCTGCAGAATCGAGAGCAACTCTGTCTGGTATGTAGGGTGTTATGTATGTTTTGCCTCGGATCGTGATGAATTCATATTCAAGGCGACATACCTGGTAATACATATTTTCTTGCGATACTGCCGATTACAATACCTACTCGGACTGTAAGCCGGCCGCCAACGTTAACACATCGACGGGGTGCTAGTTGTAGGCCGCCTGAGTGACACCGCTGGATGGCCGAGCAATAGGGTAGACCGACGACTACACTAAACACACTATGGACTTTCTTACTCGGTGACTACAGACTATAGTCTATAGGTAGACCTAAACGACAGTAGTCCGTAATTGTCTCACAATCACATACCAGCAAAAGAGAGGAAACGTTCAAACATCATTATCCAGTGCAATCCCACGAGAAGAACAAAGCAAAAAGAAAGAGCATTCAAAAGAAATTCCTGACGAACATAATCTCGTGGCCTAGGAGTATCTCGGTATAACCACCTGGTAACCGTTTAAGCCACTGTGCCGAGGGGCCGCAAGTACCTCTTTATGTATCTGAACGCCCTGCCATGACATCTCAAAGACCGTGTGAGGCTCTATTCTCGCATACTGTCGCTATAGTCTTGGCAGTTCTTCACATTCGGCGAAGTAGCGAAAACACTGTAGCCCAACACTTCCTCGAACCTCAACAATAGTTGACGAGGTTATCCGTGAGTAAACCTCAAGCGACAGTTACGTTCAACAGTCTATTACCAAGTAAGTCAACAGCCGGAAAAATCAAACAGACAACCAAGCGTAAACACACCCAAAGACAACAGAAGGACAAAAACCATCGCCAGGAAACCCGTGGCCGGGAAATCACGCACATACCCAAAATACCTGAACACAACACAAAAAAACAACGGCAGCATCACATGAAAACATAAAGTTCAACCAATAGAAGCAAACGCCTTTTTTCGGTGTTTGAAATTTTTTTTTTCCTTTTTTTTTTTTAAAGTTGAACTGACGTCTAATCTAGCAAGGACCCATCGCCGGGGCGGGTTAGACGACCCGAGCAACGTCGAGATCTGGGATGCATTCGAGGCGCGTCCATCGCAGCGGGCAGCGTCACGAAAACAACGAAAAGGACTGTTCCGGGAGAGCAGACATCCGAGAAAACAAGCAAACGAAGGTCGGTGGGAAAAAAAAAAAAAGGGGGCGCGGAGGAGGGGGCCCGCGCCCGTTTGCCAAGAGCGCTAACACGTATAGATAAGAGGGCGCTGAGTCATGATATCCCCCCCTTTTTTGTCGACTGATTCGGTTTTTTGGTTTTTGGGTTTCTCGGGTGCGCCGAAGTGTTTGAGTAATGCGGCTTCTTGCTTGAGCCTTGCTGGAGTGGTTGTGATGGTGGTTCCATAGTTGGTTGGGCTAGCTTACGCCGCTATCGCAGCTGTTGCTGTGGATGTGAATGATGCGCACGATAGGAGCGTCAGGGGGTTTGTTGCTCATTAAGTTCCTTGGGGGGTAGAATAGGAACAGAGAGTGGCCTCTCTGTTGAGATGGGAGGTGAAAGCAGCTACCGATGACTGAATATCCCCGGTGGGTGCCTACAACTGTATGTACCTGTCCTATTGATGTAGGTATCCAGAGAAGTCGATGTTGTTTGGCGGGTTCTGGCTCCGCTGCCTAATGGATCTGCACCCGAGAACGGGATAATTAAAGATCCTGATGTGATATTCCGGGGAAGAGGTGACCGGTCGCCCAGCGGGAAGTCCTTAGGCCACCTCAACTAGCCCGTCGTCGCGTTCTGTTGCGGCGCTCGGTCTCGGGCTTCTCAGGTCCTTACGAAGCCTTATCTTATATTATTAGACTATAGTCTAGGAGATATTGCCCATCTGTCCTCTTTGTCTCTATTGGCCGTTGTGATCCTTCTGGCAAGGATGCGTATACGCCTCGTAAGTCCCGTATGGCCATGACGATAGCTAGGCGAGCTTTTACCTACGAGAATTCGAACGGTTTGAAGAGCCGTGGTTTCACCAAAGCCGCAGCGGGTCAGACAATGACAATGATAAGTACCTAAAACAACATGCTTGCCAATGGCCATGCCGTTGTCGTATCAATCTTCAACGTGACATCCCACCGGCCAGCGATGGGGCAACGTCAAATACGACTCCTGAACAACGCATCGGCTCGAAAACAGTCACAAGGCCTCAATTGATTCGTCCCGGCGGGAAAAGCCAACCCCGTGGGAATCGCCGTTTACTCATCTAAACCCCGCCCTGCTAGTCAATCATCTGGGGTGCAGCATGTTGCCGCCTGACTCCTACGTCGTTATTTTGTGGATGACCGGTTACGATTATAGAATCATGCTCTATGTATGATAGATATCGGACTGGCGAATCTCGTAAAGAGGAAACGTTCATCCGTCGCTTGATCTGCTATCGTTCCCCGCTCGCCGAAGCCTTTATATATGTATATACCAAGTCCCCCCGGGCACACAACGGTCTCTCGAGACCTGAGTCTCGCTCTCTTCATTCATGAGAGTGGCAAGTCGACGGGGCTCGCGGTAGTTTGATCTATTACTCCGTCGTAGACAACACGATGCGAGAACTGTTGCAATATTCTATTTTTGGGGGGGAGGGAGAAAATATAAGAAGCACAAATATTAAAATTATATACAAAAGAATTCTTTTTTCTTTCTTGTACGCTCAACGGACTTCCCCAGCACTTGGCTCAACCCAATTGGCGACGGGCGGCATTGGCAATGTAGTTTTGTATCACGTTGCTATTGCACTCGGAATGTCGCAGAATCTCATTCTTCAGAACTAGTATCTCCTCACGCAGGCTGCTGACGCAGCCGAGCAGCATCCGATTCCGTCGGCCCAAGTACCTCTCGCGTCGTTGCAGCTCCGCCACATTCTTCTTCGCCTTCTGTCGGCACTTCCGGGCTGCGACGCGATTCCTTTCTCGGTGTTGCTTGATCTCTGCCCGCTCACCGTAGTCCCCCAGACCCGCTGACCCGCCCAACGCCTGACTCGGCCCGCTGAACGCTGCCTCTTGGCTTTCGAGAAAAGCCTCGGTGCTCGCGTATTGCAGGTCCGGCATGACGCCCGCCATACTTAACGGATGCACTTGGTCGAGCGACTGCCCGATATTCCGCCCCTGGGCGGCCAGTGGAGACTCCTCCGTTTGAACTCCTAGCTCGAGTCCGATGTTGAATTCCTAGTCAGAGAGTCAGGAGTGTTTCGACTCGCGGCTGCGGCTGATCGCCTGATCAACCACGTTCAAAGGAAAGTGTTTAAAAAGAAAAAAAAAAACTCACCTCATTTTCAGGAGCACATATCCTGTCACTAGTTGTAGCTGTGACAATTGATGGCTTCTTGCTTAAATGTCGCACGTTTCGTCTGGGACTGTAGCCCAGGTTCTCGAACGGGTGAGCCCAGGGGAGCTCCAGCACAGAGGTCCCACCGCGTTCAAACGGCGTGTTGAGTAGTGAGAAGTTCAAGCCTCGGGCGTCATTCTCGGGTCTCTGACTGATCACGACCGCTTGATTCATGACGTGCGAGTTGAAGAAAGGGGTGGCCATTCAGGATGTTGATCAGGTGTTGAATCAGTCGCTGAGTTCGATTATGTACTTGCGTGTCATGGAGCTCTCTGCTGGCGCCGAGTATTGGTCCCTCATCTGATTACGGGGAAGCGATATGAGAGATGAGACGACGTGATCCCAAAAATCGCGTAGTCAGCTATAGCAAACTGGCACACTGACCGCAGAGTCCAGGATGAGGCTATGTTTGGATGCACAGATGCTCTGATGAAATCGTTTCCAGATGGGAAAGACGAGGTCAAGTCATCGATCGAGGGAAAAGGGAAGTAGTAGACGGGTTAGCTACACACTCCGGTAGAAGCATTAATGACGGAGGTAGGAAGCTCTTTTTCTGTAAGCTACAGGGCCTCCGTCTAGATGTCATGGTGCTGCCATGTCACTCTACCTGCGAACGCCTCCCTCGACGAGAGCCACGCGCCGTCAAGGGTACTTCCACGGCTTGTGAGCTGTGCCTAGATCGGAGATTTTAGTACACGCGGAAACTCAGGAAGGCAAGCAGATATGGGGATTGACCCGGTTCATTCCCGGCCTAAGAATACCGTTCTAGCCTTGGGGATCTAGGCCCTGGCCCAAACAAACTTCGATGGCATTTAGGACGATTCCCGACGTGATGTCATTGTGTGTGCCCCTATTCGATGCGGTTCGCGCGTGTGCCTAACTAAGGCTTCCCACTAATGGTTCGTAGCAACTACCTGGGGATCAGGGAGAGACGATGCCCCCTTGCGATGTGAGCGCACACGTTGTTATATAAGGGGGGGAGTATCTAGTACTCCAATAGATGCAACTTTAAGCCATGTCGCTGTGTGGTTTCTATCTTTGGACGCGTCGAGGTCAGATCTATCGAGGTTAGCCTGGATAGCGACTACGTGCACTGAGCTGCCAAACATATTCGCGGCATCATCGCGGTATAGCAGAACGTAACTAGAAAAGATAGGTGAACAGTAAATGACATACTTGTAATCTTGTCGTTGCCAGTGATGAGGCCAGATGAGTTTTGGTTCAAGTCGTCAATCAATGGCTTAGGTCAAGGTAAAGATGGAGAGAATCACCACACTTGGGGACATGTAATCCTATGAAGTGCTTCATCTCGGTGCGGTGAGATGGAATAACCAGTACATAAAGCAAGTAACCTGTCCGTCTTTCACCAACGCATATGCAATGGCCAGGTGGCGGAGTGGTTAACGCGGTAGACTCGAATTAGCCTCCATGTGAGGCTTCAAAGCGATCTACTTCCTTCGGGAGCGTCTGTTCGAATCAGGCCCTGGTCGTTTTTTTTTTCGGTGTTTGCTCCCCCACTTTCATTGCAAAATTGGCCCAGCCCGTTGCCTTTAGCGTAGTTCGAACGTACCGGAAGATTCATGACTCGGCGCAACGAGCTAACGATGAGGGGATTCAGGGCAGAGGATCTGGCCCTGAGTCGATTCCCCATATAGACGCCATCTCAGGGAGTGGGAAGGTATCTTGTATCTTTTGTGAGCTGATTTTGTTCTGGGGTGAGAGTGCGGACGTGCTTGGCGCACGCGAAGTCGAGGTAACTATCGATGCCCGTCACCGGCGTCGTTACCAGCCTGGACCGCCGGCTCTGGCTAGCCACTCCAGTGAACTCCACTGAATTCACCACTAGACGTGTCGCGGACATTCGCTAAATTCCACTGTCGGCCAAGCACCCGGGGCTGGTAACTCCTAGCAGGTACCTGTGCTTTATCTTATAGGTGTTACCCCGCGGAATTTGTATACCCCTCTGAAGCCCCGCCATGCCCCCGCTGTACCTAGCATCGTCACCCTCTTCGGCCGATTCCGCAGCTCGGCCATCCAGCCGACTGGAGCGCATCCGCAAGGGCATTCTAGGCAAGTAGCACCGCTGTATGGCCGAGCTCCTGCGATGAACCGACCAGCAGGGTAGCCACGCTACCTATTATAGGTACCGCCGGATAACTTGAACATGTGCAAATACAGCGGCAGATCCACAATGACGTACACGGGATATCCAGATTCCCAGCAATTTTGCAAAAGACTCGAAGAAAGGAGCCAGTCCCAGGTCAACAAAAAACGCCGATAGGTTCCTATCCTGGGCACCTATCTAGATGCGGGCCACGGATTGCGTCATATACGAAGAGCTGTCGCTGGGGATGGGAGCATCGCGACCCAGCACGCCATAGGGGCGGGAATCCCCAACAAGAAGCTCGATATAGCGAGGCGTGGAGGAACAACGCCTAAAGAACTTAGCATCTGGTGCTTTTGAATCAGAATGAAGTGATTTTTAACTTTCAACTCGATATACAAATCCAGAAGGCGACAGAACATAGGGAAGTTGCCATCACGTGCAGCCAGGCGAAGCCGACTAACAAGTCCTCGACATCATCGGCGTAAAGAGGGATAAATCAAGGACTTCTATACGGAACAGAACAGAGAGTTGTTGCCCTGGGCGGTGATAGATATTGTCTCAACGCTGTTGCTTACAAGCAACACTCTCACGTAGCTGATCTATAAGCAAGCTTTTCCTACAGCTATCCACGTACGTAGACTCAAAGGTCGGAATCATGGGACGCACTACCTAGCTTATGCTGATTCCTGTCCCAATGGACATTAGCAGGTCTGGATGGCAGCGGCAATTCAGTGTATGTATAAGAGCTGTGCTATTTGCGCACCCCCCCGGATTCTAGTTGCGCATCCCCGGGCCGGTTTTCGGCCTATTGTCAGAATATTCTGTAACATACCGTACTACCGCAAATGCCCATGAATACTGAATTGTTCAATTGCACCTCCCAAAAGCACTGGCTGTCCTGTCATCATTATCCCTACTTACCACGTAACTCTATACCAATGTTTCAAGACTGTCACCGCATTACCAATACTCCAATCTCGCTGCCACTCCCGCTGCCACTCCAAGATTGCCGCTGCGATACTACCACCTCGAAATCACTACCGTTCTAAAATCGCGACCGCTGCCGTTCTAAGATTGCTGCCACTCCAAGACCGCTGCCACCCCAAGACTGCTATCACTCCAAGGCCGCTGCCGTTCCGTTCTAAGACCGTTGCCACTCCAAGACCGCTGCCACTCCAAGACCGTCGCCATTCCGTTCCAAGATCGCTGCCATTCCAAGACCGCCGCTGTTCCAAGACCGCTGCCACCCCAAGACTGCTATCACTCCAAGATTGCCACCGTTCCGTTCCAAGATCGCTGCCACTCCAAGACCGCTGCCACTCCAAGACCGCTGCCACTCCAAGACCGCTGCCATTCCGTTCCAAGATCGCTGCCATTCCAAGACCGCCG